TTTAATACAGGCTCACAAAAAAAAGTTTTTTTTTAAAACTGGCATTTTTTTTCACCTGTTGGGCTACTTGTTCAAATTTCGTTTATGGTTCAGCACCAATCATGTCAATCCCAAAAAACACATTTGAGAGGATTTTACTGAAACACTTTTATCAAAGGCACATAACAATGAAAATGTGTTGTTTCCAAGGACATTCAAGCTTTGAAAGTCGCCCGTTTTCTCGCCTATTATACCTTTGACTCAAGGCGACTCACACTTCACCCAATAGCAAATAACTGGACTTTTATTCATGATAGATGGGTTGTTGTTTTTTATGTCATTAACATCAAGAAAAATGAACAAGCTTTAAGGTGATGCCTATAACTCCATTTTTTTCTGAATATTTGACCAGCGCCTGATTCTACCTCGTCGTGACCGAATAGTGATGAGGCTCTTCATCTCGCGCGCTAACAATTCCCGCCAGGAGAAGCTTTGTAACTGGTCACGACTTAATGACACTGAAGGAACAATAAAATTTAGCAAACACAGAAATAATACCACTGCTGTTTAGAATGATTTTAACCTTTTCATTTGAATAAGATTGACAATTGGAACATATTAAAATTTGACGATGTTGTTGTTGTTATACTAACTACACATCCCAACTGGAGACAGACGTTTTAAGAGAAAAACGATTTTGACGATAATTTGACAGGTTTTTGATGTTTGCATAACAACTTGGCTTGTTCATCCCACTCACAAGAAAGGTTTGTTTCTTTTTTCTTGTTTTTTCTTGTTTTGTTTGTTTTTGCTTGTATTTTTCTTTGGGGTTGGGGCTGTTTATTCTTCTTTTCACTCTGGTTTTTGTATTTTGGAATTATTTTTTACGTCTACTGATTTACAATTGACAGAGAGGCAGCTCCACGAGAACTAATAATAAATATTAATCTTTACAAATTACCATGTACTTGTATTTCAATTAAAGTATATTCTCCCATTTCACCAAAGTTGAGAAACTGATTCAAATTGTTGGAGGTGTTTGTTGATGTGTTTCACTCTAGGTGTCTCTCTTTCGTGCCACCAAACTCTTTCTATCTTTATCGGATGGAGGGCCTGTTGGCTGCTCCGCCTAGGACAAGCGTCAACATGCACACGGCAGTGGTCAACAGGGTCAGTGTTGTAAACAGCAGGAAACAGAACCAGTCAAGAGTCTGAGGAGAGACCAAACAGTATTAATTTAGTATTTTCCCTAGTCAGCGATTAGTTCTTTCCATTTAAAGATTGAATGTAGAGCTGCCAATAATTAGTTATGCAAGAGCCCCATTTATAGATTTTTCATCAGTTTTCAATACCAACCAACGGCGCATAATAATTGAGAAACCTCTGAACCTTGAAGTAAGCACACACACACACACACACACACACACACACACACACACACACACACACACACACACACACGTA